CACACACACTCTGCATTCATTATATACACACACTACACACAAACACACACACACTCTGCATTCATTATATACACACACTGTAAATAAATAAATATTCAATTAATGTAATTTTATTGGGATTTAATTTTATTTAGAAATTTACCAGTAGCTGCTGCATTTCCCACCCTAGGCTTATACTCGAGTCAATGAGTTTTCCTAGTTTTTTGTGGTAAAATTAGGGGCCTCGGCTTATATTCGGGTCGATTTATACTCTAGTATATACGGGTATGTAGATAATAATATAAAAATACACTTATTATGAATATATAGTGTGTGTGTGTGTGTGTGTGTGTATATGTGTATGTGTATATATGTATATATATATATATATATATATATATATATAATTTTTTTTTTTTTTCTTACTAAAACATTTAGACTCAGCTCCTTAAAGGACCACTATAGTGCCCCCACCCTCAGGGTCCCCCTCCCGCCGAGCTGGATGGAGAGGAAGGGGTTAAACTTACCTCTTTCTCCAGCGCCGGGCGGGGAGCTCTCCGTCTCCTCTCCTCCTCTTCAGCTGAATGCGCATGCGCGGCAAGAGCCACGCGCATTCAGCCAGTCTCATAGGAAAGCATTTACAATGCTTTCCTATGGACGCTGGCGTCTTCTCACTGTGAAAATCACAGTGAGAAGCATGCAAGCTCTTCTAGCGGATGTCAAGAGACAGCCACTACAGGCTGGATTAACCCTAACATAAACATAGCAGTTTCTCTGAAACTGCTATGTTTATAGAAAAAAGGATTAACCCTAGCTGGACCTGGCACCCAGACCACTTCATTAAGCTGAAGTGGTCTGGGTGCCTATAGTGGTCCTTTAAGGACGGCATAGCACGCCCTCCGTCCTTAAGGGGTTAAGTAGCAATTTAAGCTTTTGCAGCACTGCTATATCTAAAGAGGGTTTACGTGAAGCTTAAAGAAAGTATATTAAGCATTAATGGTGAATGAGTAAATGTCACTTATATGCTTACGTGGTATGGTTCACTCCATATATTGTTGCTTTAAAAGTTGTTTGCATCCAAGCTACGATGAAGTGAAATAAACACATGAAATATGTAAGACATAGGTCCTGGTTTCCTGCTATGGTGGTCCCCCACCTTGATCTTCAGTTTATGTATTTTTAAAACGAAAAAATAAAGTTACTGCAATGTCATAAGTATATTATAGTACCTCAGAGGGAATATATAAATAATGGGTAGAAAAGATTCTGAATACTTGAAACCACATAATAGGTAGTGAAACAGCAACCAACAATTCAGCCATGTGTCCAATATCTGGGGAAAGAAAAATACTTGAAAACAGGGTTTTCTGTAAAACTACTGAAATCTAATTTTGCATGTGAAGGAGTACAGTTCCTACAAGAATGTATTCAGAGTTGTCTTTCAACAGAGATGAGAAGTCTTGAGAACTATGTGATCGGGACCAGAGCATATTCCAGCACTCTACCCTCCTGCATTCCACTACCACAAACTCTTTCAACTTGTAGTAAACGGTAGCTTACCATAACTTACGATTAATGACTAATGATTAAAATTAGAGCAATTAAAAAAATTCAAAATATATTAAAGAGGACCTCAATTATCCAACTAGAGAACAAATTCAATTGAATGAGAGAGAACTCATGTAAAATATAAATATTATGGAAATGTCCTTACTCTGACAAATTTGTTAGGAAATAAACCTTTCAAAGGTACTTCCTAGAATTTGATCACATTAATAAACCTAATCTAGATAATTATGAACTTACAGATCTTCATCAGGATCCTAAATCAGTTTTATCCTGTTAGCACCAATGGTAATTATACATTTTTTTTTTTTATCTTGCCTTGGTGCTACCTGTGTTCAAAATATAAATAAATAAAGATTGGGGTGCACTAGCAGGTCTTGAATAGAGTAGTAGATGGTTTTAATTGAGCGGAAAAAAAACTTCAATACATCCGTGAACAAAATCGACGTTTCAACCCCTCAGGGTCTTTTTCAAGATCGCGGGTAGCACCAAGGCAAAGATTAAAAAATAAAATTACAAAAATTGCAGTAGCAAGGAGAGTGCCAAGCCACTATATATTGTGTGTGTAAAAATTATCCTCATTGGAACCTGTGAGGAATTTTTTTGACTGTAAATTAGAGAATTCAAAATCAAAACCCATTTAAATTGTAACACTTTAGGATTTAATTATTTATTGGAATGCCTTTGTAAAAATATGTAGGACGCAACAAGAGACCCCTAAAAAAATAGTTTTCGGGAACACCTTTAGGAATATCCCTTGGTACAGCGCTACGGAATCTAATAGCGCTATATAAATAATAAAAAATAATAGTAATTAAGAAGGGTCTAATGCATTTTTTTTCTCTAAATTTTAGTCTAATACATAACAAAGACACACTATGTTTAAATCCATGGTTATACAGAAAATATTTGGGGAAAAAAAAAACTTTTTAAAGTGTAGCGACAAAAGCACAGGTATAGACATGTCATCTTGAAACAAAGAAAGAAGGGGTATCCGTGTAAATACATCAGCATATCTACACAATTTTCTAAATGATAAAATATAAATGAAGCTTAATCACATTAAAAGTGAAAAACAAATAGTTTGTCTCGGATTTATGCATATTTCCAGCTGTAAACCACCAAGTTAGACTAGCCTAAAAACAAGCAAGTGAACCATGTACAGTATCATGCAAACCCGGGGCTTATGGACTGTAACCTTGTCAAGATGGCCGGGCAAGAAAGCTTAATATCATCAGATTCCCCCAAGCTTGTGAAGCTACTGTAACAAAAAAAGAAACAGCTGAGTTCTGAAAAACACCTTTCTTGTCCCAGGCCGAACTAAAAACCTAAGACACAGTCCATTGATTCCTCCACGCCAAGTGAGCGGGTCAGAATCCTGTGAGAGTCCCACATATAGGTCCTCCTGAGGTTGTAGATGGTGTACATGGTTAGTAACCTTCAGAATTCCTGGCCCAGAGGGAGAAAAAATGTCTGGTACTCTACATGAAGCTGGCTTATCAACAGTTGAGGTGAGTTACAGATCGTGATTAAATACATGTTGACAGAATCTCTCACAAATGGTATTAATTGACGTTAAAAATTTTCAATTCTTTTCAATGAGCCTTGAATTGTGGTTTGTGATGAAGCTGGTGAATAATAAAATAAATAAATTGGCTTTATTGCTATGAATCGGAGCACACAGGTAAAATAGTGTCTCCTTTGAAGATAAACGTGATAATGAGCCTTCCTTGTGGGGATTGGGAAAACCTCCACCTGTCCAAGGGGTGGCGGAGGACAAGGCACAAACTGGATACCTCTTCAGGTCAGAAGATGGACCAATTCTCCGGTCCACAGAGCTCACCAGCCACACTGGGCCCCAACACCTCAAGCTATGTGGATGACTGGGAAGGTCCCAATCACAAGGGCTGTAATTCTCTTATGCAGGTTCCAAATCTCAGGATTTAAAGTCAAATATGTAGCCAGCTTACCACAAACAATTGACCTCAGCCCAGTGATGCAGGGTAATTATCTTAGCAGAATCTCATGGGAGATGCCAGCTAATACCCAGAATCCTGTAGAAACCAATACAGTCCATGATAAAATAAAGCCTAACGTTTATTGAAATAGTCTAAAAAATTTACAAATTCAAGGACATAGCGGCAAAAAAACCCCACTCAAAAGCATAGCCCAGCTTAGCGCGTTTCATGTGACATGGCACTTATACTTAAAGGAACACTATATAGCATTATCAATACAAATATGTATTCCTAATGCTATAGAGCCCTAGTCATCTTTTCGGTGACTAGGGCCCCGTTACGCGGTGAATAAATGGTTAATTAACCATTTATTTGCTTACCTTAATCCAGCTTCAGGCTCCCTCTGTACTGGTGACCTCTCCCCCTCCATCGACGTCAGCTTCCGAATGGAGCTGCATGCGCGGCCAGAGGAAAGCATTACTCAATGCCTTCCTATGGGGATCTTTTTTGACACTGGACTTCTAGCGACGTCCAGGGTCAAATAAGTTATATTTACTCCTGTGTAAATCACGGAAGCAGCCACTAAAGGCTGGATTAACCCCGCTGTGTAAACCTAACAGTTATATTTTATCTCTCATTTAATTAAAGTTGTTCTCTGGTTGGATAATTGATCTGTTCCCTGTCACTAGAGGTCATTTTTATGTATTTTTAATTTTTCTTATAACTATTTGTCTCTATGTAACTATTAAATGTGCATTTTGCACGTTTTATTACAGGGTTTGACCTATCCCCAGTCACTATGATTAGAAATATTGTGCTGGAGCCTGGGATTTTGTCCTGGCAGCCCTTTAGGGAAGGCCGGCTACCCGCACGGGGTAGCATGGGAGCAGGCCAGCCGCCCACCCACATGAGGCATCATGGGGGCTGGCCGTTGGCTGGTGGTAGCATGGGGGGGCGATGTGCGAGGGAGCAGTAATTTTGCAGCTCCTCTCTGCTCCCCTGCGCTTTTAAGTGATACCTGGAGCCATAATATGACATCATTCTGCCCCCTAGGCACCACTACAGGGAGCAGAGAGGAACTGCAGGTAGATAAGTGAACATCCCAACTGGACCCCATGAAAAAAGATCCACTCAGCTCTCCAAAAGGTAGGGTGGCTGGGTGGACATAAATGAAAATAAGAATGTTAATTTGTGAGTTTATGTCAAAATGTGTGTCTGCCTGCGTCTGTCTGTCAGTGTGTCTGCTTAGGTACCTGCCTCCCTCCGATCGCACGGGAAAGGTGTTTTTACTCACCTTTTTCCCATGCCATGACAGTTTAGCTGTGGCTGGCACCGCCTCCATGGCTGAGATCATCAATCTTCATGATCTCAGCTAAGTCAATGCTTTCCATAGGAAAGCTTAAAGGGACACTGTAGGCATCCAAACCACTTCAGCTGATTGAAGTGGTCTGAGTGTCAACTCCCATCACCCTTAACCCTGCAAGTGTAATTATTGCAGTTTTTATATAGGGTTAAGTCCTCATCTAGTGGCTGTCTACCAAACAGCCACTAGAGGGACGTCCGACTTCTTAGACAACTTTTAGTCACGCTATGCATGAGGACCTCCAGCGTCGCCGGAATCCCCATAGGAAAGCATTGAATAATGCTTTCCTGTTGGGAGGTGTAATGTGTGCGGCCATTGCCACGCGTGTGCATTAGGTCTTCCCCCGCCGGAGCGTGTGCAGAGCCTGACCCAGCACCAAGGGACACTGGCGCTGGAGTCAGATAAGTGTCTAAAGGGGTTTTAACCCCTTCAGCGTTGTGGGATTGGGGGCGGGAGGGAGGGGGGCACTCCAGGATCCGCTAGTGCCAGGAAAACGGGTTTGTTTTCCTGGCACTGGAGAATCCCTTTATAGAGGAGATGGCGCTGCACATGCGCAAATCAGCATCTCCTCATTAAGATTCATTGAATCGATGCATCTCTATGGGGAACATTCAGCACCTCAATGCAGAACGTGGAGATGCTGAACATAAAGTGAGGGGAAAAAAGTATTTGATACCCTGCTGATTTTGAACGTTTGCCCACTGACAAAGAAATGATCAGTCTATCATTTTAACGGTAGGTTTATTTTAACAGTGAGAGACAGGATAACAAGAAAAAATCCAGAAAAACGCATGTCAAAAAAGTTATAAATTGATTTGCATGTCAATGAGTAAAATCAGTATTTGACCCCTTCGACTTGGCACTTGGTGGCAAAACCCATGTTGGCAATCACAGAGGTCAGATGTTTCTTGTAGGTGGTCACCATGTTTGCACACATCTTAGGAGGGATTTTGTCCTGCTTCTCTTTGCAAATCCTCTCCAAGTCATTAAGATTTCGAGGCTGACGTTTGGCAACTCGAACCTTCAGCTCCCTCCACAGATTTGCTGTGGGATTAAGGACAGGAGACTGGCTAGGCCACTCCAGGACCTTAATGTGCTTCTTCTTGAGCCACTTCCTTGTTGCCTTGTCTGTGTGTTTTGGGTCATTGTCATGCTGGAATAGCCATCCACAACCCATTTTCAATGCCCTGGCTGAGGGAAGGAGATTCTCACCCAAGACTTGACGGTACATGGTGCAGTTGTCCTGTCCCCTTAGCAGAAAAACACTCCCAAAGCATAATGTTTCCACCTCCATGTTTGACGGTGGGGATGGTGTTCTTGGGGTCATAGTCATTATTCCTCGTCCTCCAAACACGGCAAGTTAAGTTGATTCCAAAGCTCGATTTTGGTCTTATCTGACCACAAGACTTTCACTCTGTTCTCCTCTGAATCATTCAGATATTCATAGGCAAACGTCAGACGGGTCTGTAGATGTGCTTTCTTGAACACGGTGACCTTGCAATCACTGCAGGCTTTCAGTCCTTCACAGCTTAGTGTTACCAATTGTTTTCTTGGTGACTATGGTCCCAGCTGCCTTGAAATCATTAATAGGATCCTCCCGTGTAGTTCTGGGCTGATTCCTCACTGTTCTCGTGATCATTGAAACTCCACAAGGTGAGATCTTGCATGGAGCACAAGACAGAGGGAGACTGACAGTTATTTTGTGTTTATTCCATTTGCGAAAAATCTCACCAACTGTTGTTACCTTCTCACCAAACTGCTTGGCAATGGTCTTGTAGCCCATCCCAGCCTTGTGTAGGTCTACATCTTTGGACAGCTCTTTGGTCTTGGCCATGGTGGAGAGTTTGGAATCTGATTGATTGCTTCTGTGGACAGGTGTCTTTTATACAGGTAACGAGCTGAGATTATGATCACTCCTTTTAGTGCTTCTAATGTCAGCTCTTTAACTGCATAAAAGACACCTGGGAGCCAGAAATCTTGCTGATAGGGGATCAAATACTTTTTTCCTGTTGCTGTAGGTTTAGCGTCTAGAAGTTGCCTTTCAAACCTGAAAAGTTAGAATTTCGACCTTGTGAGTGTATTGTAATTGTATCACCCATAAATTTCTTGCATTTTTTTCTTTTCCCAGATGTTTGACACATGGTTGAATTTTTGTTTGCTGTTTCATTATCTATTATATGGTTTCTAGTGATATCCTATTTAGAATCTTTTGTACCCATTATTTATATTTTCCCTCTTTGGTATGATAAACAGCCTTGCTTTTGTTTTTGCTACAGTTTATTTCTACTTTGTAGCATAAGGCACAGATTGCATATCTGGTACCCTTATGATGAACTAATATAGAATATTTGGGACTTTATATCACTTTTCTGTGCATCCGAATTGGACTGTTATTATTTTCTGGACTTTGATTAGTAATTCGATCCTTTTATTTTGTCTTATTATTCATGTATATGTTTTGTATCCGCTCCTGGTCCCACTATCAGTCTTACTGATTTGCTGCATTTTTGTATGGAAACCTCTTGACCAGTTCTTAGTCTAATTTAGTTGATATATCCCCTTTTTCTCTTCATTAGTATCTTTTGTGATTTCCTTTTTTTGTGGTTCATTCATAAAGTCCATTCTATATATTTATTTATTGGTGGGAAAATAAGGGAAGAAGTGGGAAAATATGAAATCAAACCATTTACTTGCAGTTTCTGCCTGCAGTCTCATTCAAAGGCAAATCTATTGTGAGTGTAGCTGGAATTATCACTTAAAGATCTGTCCTTGCATTTATTTACTAAACATTAAACTACATAAAATGTAAACCAAATGGCAAATTTCAGGCTAAAGTAGCCTAGCTTAGTTGTCAGATATTCCGAAAATTACTATTTTGTCCTAAATTTTAAATCTCTTTTCCATTTTACTTGTTAAAAGCCTGATTTGATAAATAGTATTGTAATCTTCTGCTTATGAGTTCGTCATCTCTCTTAATTTTTAATTGCCAGATATACGCTGTAGATTTGTTCTTACATAGGCCTGATAAGACACTGCTATGTAGGAACGTCTAGGAATGACACATACATAAATCGTAATAACGAAATGTATAGACACATTATATCTCACGAATACCTTCCATGTATATTTTTTTTAACATATAGGATTTGAAGTATAACCTACAATTCCAAGACTGTTGTCATTTCTGAGTAACAATATGTAAATATGTGGAAGAATTAAAAAAAAATAAAAAAACCCAACAAAATGGATTAAAACCAGTAACTATTTACCATGTAAGATGTATGAGTTGATGGGATCACACTTATAACACTTATCACTCTCTTTAATTTTTGTAAGGCTGTTTGGGAAGCAGCACACTTTCTCGGCTCCTTTCCACACCCCGCCGCCGCACAGAGCGCACCGTGCATGCGTGACCACATCATGATGCCCCACTTTCGCTGTCTGAAGCGCAGTATGATCTCTCGACCACGGTATATAGTAATGGGCACTGAATAGTGCATCACGAGCACAAACATTTTATGCAATTGCCAATTAGTATGTGCTGCACAGCCGTGCTTGCGCGACACACCTGCACACTCCAGTCAACACACAGTTTGGAAAGCACGGATATAGCACATAAACAGCAAGCACTGCTTCTAGTCTGTATGCACGGATTGTAAAAATGTACTTATATTGAAATTAGATTCTATTTTTTGTTTAATATGTGATTAATGCATTAACTATTTTAATATACTCGTTTTTCTATCTTAAGTGAAATAGTTTATTTGTTATATTATGTGTTATGCAGTCCATATGGATAATTAGGTTAGTGGAAAACAAGGGTAAGGGTAAAGCCATATTCACTGCAATTTGTAGGTAACTAAATGACCATGGAATCTGGTGCAGAGACTCAACAGAGTGGAGATGCGGCTGTCACAGAGGCAGAAGCCCAACAGATGACCATACAGACCCAGCCACAGATTGCAACATTAGCACAGGTATCGAGTGCTTAACTGCTTTCTACTTTTTGATAAATAGTATGCGAACAATTGCACTTGAATCCATTCATCCCACTACGCTTCTCTATAAAGATTTGTGCTTGTCAATTAATCTAACTGTATATTTGTGAATCTTAAAATATTTCTTGTGGTTGCCTTTTCGTATTCACCATGAGCTTGTCAATGTATTGTTTGCTTACTATAAGTGATTTGGTAACCAAAAAATATGTAATGCATTACTAAAATGCTGTAATTTAAACACTGTGTGATTTGTTTTTTTGAGAAAAATAAAACACAAAACTAAAAACAAAAAAACGTTCTCTCCCCCTCCCCCCTTTCCTATTAGGTATCCATGGCAGCTGCACATGCAACATCATCAGCCCCTACAGTGACATTAGTCCAGCTTCCCAATGGACAGACTGTTCAAGTACATGGAGTTATTCAAGCTGCACAACCATCTGTTATACAGTCTCCACAAGTACAGACAGTGCAAGTAAGTTATTTTTGGGAAGATACATTTATATCTTTAAAGAAACATGAGTAACCAATGCTTATTCAGTCTTGTGGGGAAAATATAACTTGTCCATTTTTTGTGCACATTTACAGGGTTAATTACTAATGTGTGATTTTCGAATTTAAGACAAAAGTAGTCAAACTAAAAGCATAGCTGACTTAGAGAAATTTTTCACTTTGGCCATTTTGACCTTTAAAATTTATAGTCCATTTTAATTCTCACTTAAAGGACCACTATAGGCACCCAGACCACTTCAGCTCAATGAAGTGGTCTGAGTGCCAGGTCCCTCTAGTTTTAACCCTACAGCTGAAAACATAGCAGTTTCAGAGAAACTGCTATGTTTACACAGAGGGTTAATCTAGCTGTCTCACTGACATCCACTAGAGGCCGCTTCCGCGATTGCCACTGTGAAAATCACAGTGAGAAGATGTTGATGTCCATAGGAAAGCATTGAGTAATGCTTTCCTATGGGCGGCTTGAATGCGTATGCGGCTCTGGAGAAATGTAAGTGGCTGAAGGGGTTTTAACCCCTTCAGCCCAGTGGGAGGGGGAGCCCATGAGGTTGGGGGGGACCTAATAATCCTATGGTGCCAGGATAGTGGTCCTTTAAGTGAATAACTCTTAGTGTTGTCTATCTTTACAATTAAACTAAGCAGTAGTGCCCAACAAAATGTGCCCAGCTCATTCCAGCTGATTATAAATAATCATTGGCAACCTAGTCAGTTGACACAATTACAGGAAAAAACCTAGGAAAGTTCTCAGGTGTTCAGTCTGACTATGTTGGTCTGACATGAAACTTAAATTTTTAGTTCTCAGTAATTTACATTTTAATGGATAACCATTGATTGGACATGTGCAATGCTGCTGCAAACTGAACCCCATTCATTGGGGAAAAATGTATTTATCATCTACCTCAAAGAAAACAAAATGGCCAGGTTGCACTTACCTAAATTTATCCTAAGGTAGATCTCCATGAATTCTATGTTTCTAGGCAAGTTGGAGTGATTTATGTTTATCACTGATCTAGCAAACTTTGACTTTTGCTTCACAGCCAACTCAGTGTTCTTTATATTAGATAGCATCTTCAGACTGGGGTCTGTTTAATAAGTATGTTTAAGATTTTACTCTTCCGAGTATAGTCTGTCCCTGCAGGCATCTTGATTTAAACACTGCCTTTTCAGAGAAAAGAAAGTGTCTACATTACTAGCTAGGGACATCTCCAGTGGCAGTCACTCTCTGCATGCAGGCACTGAACTTTCCCCATAGAGATGCATTGATTCAGTCTTCTTGGCTGAGATCATCAGAATATACGAATTGTCTGTAGGAAAGCATTGGATTGACTGAGATCGTCCATTCGGATGATCTCCACCAAGGAGGCAGATCATGGCAGGGGCAGGGCTGTCAGGTCCACAATGATGTAAGGCTTTGAACATAATTTCACAACTTTTATTTTTAATTTTTATATAATTCTTTATCTGTGCCCAGCTCACAAACGTAAGTGGACTAGCATGAGTAAAATAAAAGAGAAATAGTCATATTACAAAACAGCAAGAGTAGACATGTATACATTTGTTTAGAGTGGTCTAATTGGAAGCTGAGGGGCTTTCCGAATGTGTTTCCTCGAGATCTGGCCATGGCGGGTTTACAGAGAGCCTGGTCGGAGGGTCGATAGGTGAGATTGTTCCCATCTGTGGGTATGATGTGTGGACCTAAAGTGTCCCAGGGCAGAGCATTTAATTTAGCCTTTAGTGACCATGGACGTATCCGGTATGTCCGACCAAAAAATGGTCCTTATGGACCGCGGATGTACCTGACACATCCGTGGGGAATTAGAGCGCTGGAAACGATCATGATCGCTTCTAGCAGCTCTAATGGTATTTCCGCTATCCCTCGATGTTGAGTCATCGCTGCAATACCCACCTCACTGCTGGTGGCCAGCAGTGAGCTGAGCATCAGAAGCCATCAGGCAGGCTTCCAATACTCTACCTGTACTCAGTGCCTCGAGGGGTCGAGGCACTCGGTTAAAGGTAACAATAAAAATGTTTTTAAAAATTACTTACAGAAATACACAAACACACTGCATTCACTCTATACACACTACATAAACACACACACTCTGCATTAATTATATACATACACTACACGAACACACACACACACTCTGCATTAATTATATACACACTACACACAAACACACACTCTGCATTAATTATATACACACTACACACAAAAACACACACACTGCATTAATTGTATACACAAATACACACACTCTGCATTCATTATATACACACATTACACAAACACACACACTCTGCGTTCATTATATACACACACTACACACACACACACTCTGCGTTCATTATATACACACACTACACAAACACACACACTCTGCGTTCATTATATACACACTACACACACACACACACACACACACACACACACACACTCTGCATTCATTATATGCACACACACACACTCTGCATTCATTATACGCACACACTCTGCATTCATTATATACACACACTACACACACACACACACTCTGCATTCATATTATATATATATATATATATATATATATATATACACACACACACACACACACTCTGCATTCTATATATATATATATATATATATATCAGAAAATAGAAAAATACCAAAAGACCCAGAGGGTACAAAGGATCTAAAAAGTACACCTATGGGTATCTAGTATTACTATAAAGCAACCCTTATCCAGATAAAACATAACTTTTAATAATATATGATAAAAAAGGCACAATAGCCACAATGTAAAGAATATATAAATAGTATCTAAAGTTAGTATTGACTAGGAGAAGGAGAAAGGAGGTTTAGTATAGATGTACAATTTGATACAGAAGTGTCAAAATGTCTATTTGTGGCACAGATACATCAGAGTGAACTTAACTCTGTTCATTCTCCTTTTAATGGCAACTAATCGCTTTAGCTCCTATCTGGCTTTCTTTTTTATTGGTTATTTTCATGACCAATTGACTTTTTCTAATGGTTACATTTTCAATTTAGAAACATGTAGCTGTATCTTTAAATCATAGTATTTCTTGATGACAATGCTTTAACCAGGCATTGCTATTATACCATATTGGTATATAGTCAGAAATCCTTTTCTTCTATAAGGTTTACTAAAAGACCTTCCAAAAGAAAGTATTTGTGTTGGCATTGACTTAATTTACTAAGGTCTAAACCATTTAGATCTCAATTTACATACAGTAATACTTTGGACAAGTTATTGTTACTAATTGATGTAACAATCATAAGGTACACTAAATAACCTCTTTTTTTTCGATCCCTGGGGCATTAGAAATTGTTGGTTTATTCAGTATAAATACAGAGCCCATCTAACATGCATCCGTTCTGGTCTGCCTCCAAACCCCACCCTCTATTTCACAACTTTTTTAATAGCACAAAGTGGTAAAACTAATAATCATATATTACCAATCTTGTTTATATATATATATATATATATATATATATATATATATATATATATTCACAATAGTTTCTGGCACTCATCCCATAGCAAAAGCATTAATTCAGCAATGACCAGGTGCCTCTCCGTGCAAAATATGCAAATGGAACAAATTGAGAGCACTCATTGGATTTAGTAAACAAAAAAAATATATTAAATCAAACGCATATAAATCAACGTTTCGACCGTCTAGCGGTCTTTATCAAGATGATTATCTTGATAAAGACCACTAGACGGTCGAAACGTAAATTATGTAATGTAAATTACACTTAAGGGGTTACTATAGACATGTGGTGTTACTCCATAGATAATGCATCAACATTCCACCTAAAGATTCTTTCACAGTCAGAATAGTAGTTGTCACGAAATTACTTTTAATGCCCACTTCAAGGCTGTCCAGGGTTACATTCCACTTAACAGATCTGCAACAGCTATAAACATTTTACTTTTATCAATTAACTGAATGTTAACAGCATTACTATGTCTGACAATTCTGCATTGTAGCTAAACAAGATATATTTAGTAGAGTATCAACAAGAGATAGTATACAGAAAACGATGTAAAATGAGTAAAATATACGCGAACGAAAATCTCTAGTGTACCTCACAAAAACCACCCAAAATTACAAAGAAAAGAGAGTGGGATAAACAAACACATATAAATACAAATGCAATACAACCTGGAAAAATCAGGAAAAATTCAATTATGTATTAAAGGGAATCTATAAATTAATTACAAAAAATATAGAAAACATAGCATAATACTATAAAAGCAATAGAAAAAAAAAAACAGTGTATGGTAAGTAGAACACTCACAAAGATCTAGGTAATTCAGGGTTATCACCCTGCCAGGGTGTACAGCAAAACCAGGACTCCAATGTAGAAAATCTTCCTTATATGGAGAAAAGAAAATGGCCACAATGGTGAAGTATAATTTAAGAAAGAATACATTTATTTTATTGCACTTACAGACAAAAGGTAAAAGCAGGCATATCTTCACTGAAAGTGGTAATTCCAAAAGTTGGCTTTAGATGTCTTGAAATGTGAAACAGTCCACAGGTAGCCACCAGATGTAACCGCCATAAAAATCAATAAAAGTACAAAAATAAATGTCATCCAATAATCCAACATGTTTCGTCCTATGTAGTGGACTTCTTCAGGCATATGAATGTACATCTTCCGATTAAATACTGCTGGCATTAGCCCATCATGCGATCCATCTGTACCCAGCGTGTGTTCCAGGTTATTTGGGCACACATTGCTTCACATTCTGACACAGCAGTGGAGTTAAGAAACAGGAAAAATAATAAAACCATAAAAATGTTAAAGGACCATTATAGGCACCCAGACCACTTCAGCTTAATGAAGTGGTCTGGGTGCCAGGTCAATCTAGGTTTAACCCTGCCTGCTGTAAACGTAGCAGTTTCAGAGAAACTGCAATGTTTACATTAGGGTTAACCCAGCCTCTAGTGGCTGTCTCATTGACAGCCACTAGAGGCACCTCTCACTGTGATTTTCACAGGGAAAAGACGCCAGCGTCCATAGGAAAGTGTTGAGAATGCTTTCCAATGGACTAACTGAATGCGCGAGTGGTTCTTGCTGCGAATGCACATTCAGCCGATTACGTCGGAAGGAGAGTCCTCAGCGCTGAGGGAGGAGTAAGGGATTAACCCCTTCCTCCCACTGCAGCCCGGCGGGAGGAGGGCCATGAGGGTAGGGGGGACCTATTAATACTATAGTGCCAGGAAAACGAGTTTGTTTTCCTGGCACTATAGTGGTCCTTTAAACAGAACCAAAAAACAGCTGCTTTGGCCACAAAGCAGTAAGCAATAAAATGGGTGGAGTGGTCATTTACATATAATTGAATTATGTGTTGTTGCAAGGGACTTGATTAATGCAATGTTGATTAGCATATTTATAACGTATAACCAAGGCTATCCCAGGAGACCTCAAATATATCGCATATTAGACTGGTCATTCGAAAGGATATCAATTCCCTGGTGGGAGTAGTTTGAACCGATAAGTTTGGTAGTAATATTACCTTGAAAGAGGTGCAAGAACTAAAATACAAATGTATTATCTATAGTCTATTTAGGTAATATCTGACCATTGGAAATTGGCAATTACTCTTGGTTCATAACATCAGTATTACTAAGGGTCAACCAGACAGCCCATATTTTGGAATATTTGTCTCTGTGTACCGTAGCCGACCAATGTAGTTCTTCTAGACCTGTAATATCATTAACCTTGTTTATCCAATTTATTAATGTACGGATACTAGTCTCCTTCCAGACAGTAGGAATGAGAGCATTCGCTTCTCCTGCCAGAATCTACAAGTGTTTGATTATTCATGTCTAGAAGCGAGTGTGGATAACCCAGTAGTATTTGCGAGAGCACAGTGTATTGATGGTGGAAAAGTCCGCAGGTGGTATATATGGATCCAAATTGGACAAAAGTGGTAAATGGACTGCTTTAAGGTTCACTCCTCTTTGGTCTGTTTATAAATGATCTTGAAGTGGGCATTGTTATTAGTCAGTGTTTTCAGATGACACAAAACTAGGTAAGGTAATATAGTGTGAATATGATATAACTTCTTTACAGAGGGATTTGGATAAATTGGGAGACTGGGCAGGCAAGTGTCAAATGAGATGCAATACAGATAAATGCAAAGTCATGCATTTTGGAATAAGGAACCCACAAGCCACTTATACATTTAGTGGGGTTAAATTAGGGATAACATTAAATAAAAAAGACCTGGGAACAATTATCGATCACAAACTAGGTGTGGCGGTATACCCTCGAGTAGATGGGTTACTAGTGCCTTGGATGTCTCTCCCAGTGCGTATAGCTACAGAGTGATTTATGCTCTCCTGCAAGGTGTACAGCTGTCTCACCCAAACACTAGCCAAGACTTAGTGAAGGGTGAAGAACAGTTGAACAAAGTGCACAGACTTATACCCAGACCCCAGGATGGGGTCTCCATTCACTGTGACAAAAGCCTGCCATCTGTGTCTGGGAGATAAGTCAGCTCTTGGAAAACTCATTATCTCCCAGATACAGAAAGAGCAATACAGAAAAGAAAATGTCTTTCTCTGGAGCATCCATTCTGGCTAAAAATCACCCAGATCGGATGAGTCCAGCACGAATTGGATAGAAGTACAAAGGTTTAGCAGGACTGGATTCGAGTCCAGCGTACTGGGTAGAGTTTCCGGTCACCTAAAAACACAGCACTTTCTGTAAGTACATTGAGCTCCCTCAAGTTCTTAGTGTCATTCGATGGCTCTCCACCTCCTCTATTAACCTTTCAAAAAACGCCCTGATTGATGGTCCTCGGACTGAGAGCACTCTGGTTGATGTTTTAGTGGATCGCGGCGACTCTGCAATCTGCTTTAGAGTTCCAGAGCTGTTTGGGGTTGCTCCTGGTCAGGCCTATCATGTCTCAGCGGCCAACCTGGCAGATGAAAAGGCGACTCTGGGTGGCAGGGAATGAGCTGATGGATTAGTCCACCGTGTTTGTCTTTTGAGAAGAGGTAGTGGTTTGGGGAGAAATGTACCCAGCTTAGCTGACCTGAGGGTCCGTCACGCTAGGCAACCGTACGCAATGGCAATCTGCCTTTGCAATAACTTGTAAGATGCTTTCATGTATAAAAAGAGATATATGTTCACGTGATCAAAATACAGTTTTGCCTTTTTATAAATGTCAAGTCCCTGGCTTGAATACGCAGTGCAATTTTGGCCACAAGTTTTATAGAAGGATGTTGCAGAAGTGCAGAGGCAAGCTGTAGAATTAATAAGGGCGATAGATTTAGAAAAAAGATGTTTCAGAAGGGATATGATTGCACCATACAAATATATACAGGGTCTGTACAGACCACTATGTGCTAACCTGTCATACTTATATATTGATGTTTCTTAAAGTCTCTTGGGCTTCACTTCTCGAACAAAAATAGAGGGAAATCTACCTAGTGGAGAACATCCATAAATTGCAATAAATGCACTCACTTTTAGATAAATGTTATCACACTCACTCAGAGCCTGCACTGTAAGAATGGCACTTGATACACTCAATATTTATCAGTGTGATAACATTTATCTTACCTTGAGTACATTTATTGCATTGTGTTCTGCACTAGAATTTTTTTCCTGCTTTTCTTCTTTTTTTTGCGCACCAGCATTTGGGTTGCGATTTAAATTTAGATTTGCTTGTATGCCGGGTTGGTTGCTGACAGTTGTTTTAGCATGTTAGTAGATATGTCCATTTAAACATTGGTCTTTGCACTTTATAATGTAAATTTCCACCATATTTTATGTGTCACAAGATATTGTTTGCTTTGCACTTATTGATTACACTTTTTTTTCCGCTCATCCAATAAGGTTACATAGTTATAAGCACCTTTTTCCCACCTGAGGTTGTTTTCGTTTACAGCTGAGGAAAGGGTTCTTTACAGTAAGAAGAACAAAGATGTGGAATAATCTTCCCCAAAAAATTTTTTTTTTTTCTTTTTTTTTTTTTTCAGATTCCATTGATTTTTCTTTTGATCTTTTTATTTATTTTATTTTATAAAGGCCTGGATGGTTTTTGCAAAAACAGAATATTCAAGCATTTAAATGATATGTACGTGAACAGGTTGTTGATCCTAGAACAAATCTAATTGTCATTATGGTGTCAAGAAGGATTTTTCCCCCCTTTTTATGACTTAATTGGAAATGGCTACAATTTTTTTTTTGTCTTTTTGTGATCAGCAGCATAAAATAGTGGGTTTTAAGGGTGAACTTGATGGACTTTAGTATTTGTTTAATCCTACATTACTATGTTACTATTGGTATTTTATTTTGTTTAGATTTCCACAATTGCGGAAAGTGAAGATTCTCAGGAATCTGTAGACAGTGTTACAGATTCTCAGAAACGCAGAGAAATTCTTTCCAGGCGGCCGTCCTACAGGTAAAAGCTTTTGTGAATACTAAATCTTATGTTCTGTTACTAGTTCAGCAACATGCTTTTCTTTTCTGTTTCTTATTTAAGTATATCCCTAATTTCATTTTAATCCCAACAAGTTTATATATTGTGTAGCCTTTTTTTTTTTTCACCAATTTGTGAGTTTAATTTTTTAATTTTTTTTTTTGCAGGAAAATTTTAAATGACTTGTCTTCGGATGCTCCGGGAGTACCGAGGATTGAAGAGGAAAAATCTGAAGAGGAGACATCTGCTCCTGCTATCACAACAGTGACTGTTCCAACACCAATCTACCAAACAAGCAGCGGCCAGTACAGTATGTATTCTGTTGCTCTTAGTGCCTAACATTATAACACAGTTTGAGGTGATTGAGCCTGTTTAATGATCCTTTAAAGAATTTAGCATGCATACTACATATGTCTGAATGAATCCTGAATTCTATACAGTCCGTTACATGTATTCTTTGAGTTAATTGTTGAAACATTGCTTTTAAAGGACTCTCCATGCAACATCACCAGTTATATTTATTGAAGTGTAGTGATGTCCCGAACGGTCCCGAACAGGAGGTGGGAGGGTCTGGGAGGGAGGGTCTGCTGCTGATTGGCTGGAATGTGTCTGCTGACTGTGAGGTACAGGTCAAAGTTTACTCAATGATGACATAGGGGGCGGACCCAACAGCGCATATGTTTGCCGTCCGCGAATAAGTAGTACATGTTTATATTATGATCTGAACTTAAGGGAGAGACCCTAAGAAAATCCATGCAAGCTAAATAGAATATGAGATTGGACAAACACTTAAGCTCTGTAGCTAAGTTATATATATATATATATATATATATATATATATATATATCTCAAACTAGGCAGACCAGATACATCTTTAGTTCCAGCCCAAGGACATAGTTTTCTGTGCTGTAGGGAGCAAGTATACTAGAGATCTTCCCCATCTTTCCTGACCCTCAAGTCAAGCTTACAAATACTTTCTAGTTTTTTGGTGTTAGTTTATTGAAATGCTTTCTTGTTCTGGTGAAGGGTTGCTAGGTTATGCTGGGGATCTTGCTTACTTTTCCAAGGTTCCCTTTTTCTTTGGATCTTGAGCCTGTCATGAGCCCAGTAGCCTGTTCCACTGTGATTATTTTTTATTTTATTTTTTTGGACATAGTATTTGCCATGGTCTTTCCTGTCCATCCGGCCACACAACTACTTGTCTAATTCACTGATTGGCTAGTCTGAAAGATTCAATGGACAAGAAGGTCAAATCAGCATTGAGGAGAACCTTTCTTAGCTCTGATCTAAAATGTAAAGCATAATGAGGAACGTAGTGGCTGGGATTCAAGTTATGGATATTGGCATTAAACAGCAAAAAAAAAAATCTTTCTGCCTCACCCTCCTGAAAGAATTTTCATGAATATCCAGTTAGTGGGGGAGCTTCCTTTCTTTTATGACCCTGGAAGCTCTGGAACAAACACCCAAGGCTTTTTGATTTATCTAAAGTGGCCCAGGAAGTTATCTGACTGAATTTTTGGGCCAAAGATTCAGCTTCTAAGAATGTTTCTTGTGAGGGGAGATTTTTGCACAGCGCTACGGAATTTGCTGGTGCTTTATAAATCAGGTCTCGACAAATCCCAGGCCCCAGGATATGTGAGCCGAGTGGCGGAAAGGCCAGCTAGGGAATTATGGAGCCAGGTGGCAAGTTGAGTGGTCGTGCAGACGGGCGGCAGTTGGGTGCTCGTGCAGCAGGCGGCTGGCTGCGCAAATAGGCAGGCGAGGAGGAAGCTGTGATGTCTTCTCTCCCGCGTGCCGCTTAGTGAGACCCGGAATTTGACGTCAGCAGCGCTTGAGCAGAGACATCACAGCTCCCTCTCCGTCGGCATCAAAATGCGCAGCCAGCCGCCCGCCTGCACGCACACCGAGCCTGTCGCCTACTGGACCCCACAGGCATTGTCTGTCATAGTGTGAGTATATGGGTCTCTCTCTGTCATGGCGGGGGTGTGTGTGTGTGTCTGTCATGGCGGGGGTGTGTGTGTGTGTGTCTGTCATGGCAGGGTGTTTGTGTGTGTGTCTGTCATGGTGGGGGGGTGTTTGTGTCTGTCATGGTGGAGGCGTGTATGTGTCTGTCATGGCTGGGGTGTGTGTGTGTCTGTCATGGCTGGCGTGTGTGTCTGTCATGGCTGGGGGTGTGTGTGTGTGTCTGTCATGGCTGGGGGATGTGTGTGTGTCTGTCATGGCGGGGTGGTGTGTCTGTCTGGCGGGGGGTGTGTGTGTGTCTGTCTGGCGGGGGTGTGTGTGTGTGTGTGTGTCATGGCGGGGGTGTGTGTCATGGCGGGGTGTCTGTCATGGCGGGGGTGTGTCTGGGGGCTGGGGTGTGGCCATGGGGCGGGTGTGTGTCTGTCATGTGTGTCTCTGTCATGGCGGGAGGGGTGTGTGTCTGTCATGGCGGGGGGGGGTGTGTCTATCATGGTGTGTGTGTCTATCATGGTGTGTGTGAGTGTACGGGTCAATCTGTCATGATGTATGGGTGTGTGTCTGTCTGTATGTCATGGTATATGGGTGTGTGTTTAGGTTACCAGACCCCTTCTGTTCGCAAGGGAATGGAGTTTTTACTCTTTTTCCCCACACAATGCTGGTCTCCCCTCGACTGGCCCTGTCTCTATGGCTGCGATCATCAAGCTTGATGATCTCAATGTTTTCCTATAGAATTGGCTGCAAAACGCTGTACAAATTAGCCTATCCTCATAGAGATGCATTGAATCAATGCATCTCTATGGGGAACATTCAGTGCCTCCATGCAGAGCGTGGAGACGCTGAATGTAGGTGTCGCACACTGTGCAGCACTGACACAGGAAACCCCTCTAGTGACGGTCACTAGAGGTGTCACTAGGAAGCAATATAAACACTGCTTTTTCTAATAAAAAATGTGTTTCCATTGAAAAGCCTGCAGGGACAGGCTTTAGACACCATAACCACTATATTAAGCTGTAGTGGTCCTGGTGACTATCGTGTCACTTTAAGAATTGTATTTTTGTCATTGAATATAAAGCTATGCAAGTTTTAAAAAAATGTGGCTCCTAACTTTTTTAGCTGGCCCCTAGAATCAAAGCAAATTTGTCATGCCCTGATATAAAAAATAAAATAATAATATAGCAGCTCCCTGAATAATAATCCCAGTAGAATCAAAGATTTGTTGTCAGGTCGATCATGCTTACCCTTCCTTTAAGTCCAGCAGAATGGACCCTGTTGCCAAAAGCAAAAAAAATATGACCCAGATGACTTATATCTCTAGTCTGATTGTCCTGATCCTCAAAGTTCTCAGATAAATCATAATTTATGGAAACTCTGTGATAGCAATCCTGCCTTTCTGGCCCAGGAAGGTCTGGTTTACCAGTCTTCTCAGCCTGTCTGTTGCAATTTACTGGAAACATCCAGTCTTCGTATTCACCCTCCATCCAAAAATCTCAGCCTGGCTTTTGAAAGGGCAGTTTGTCCTCTCCAACCTGCTATGAGCCAGATGACTATCCAGAATTTTTTTTTAATTCCATAATTTGAAGATGCTCCTATGACAAGTGCAATAAATCAGAGATTTCACACTTGGAAACAGCAGTTACTGAATTTATCCTCAATCTGAGATTTTTCAAAAAGTCTATTGTTGTCCCTCAGAGTACATATCTCATCCATAGGAGTAATTTCCTTGGGCTGTTGAATTCTTAAATCTTTTTCCAGGATTTAACCTTGAATAACTTAGCTTGATGTTATTCTCTTTCTGTGAAACTCTGTTCATACCTCTTTCTCTGTTAAGACTGAAGCCAAATGGCTAGGAGAGCTTAAATTCTTGTCGTGTAAACCTCAAGTGGTATTTTCACTTGTTCTATTGCCCTGTTTTGCTGGTGTTTTACTCAACCAAGAATTAGTCATACTTTATTTATGTGAGATTTCCCCTGTGTATATATAATTTTTATAAAATACATGCAATATATTTTGGGTCTCTAGAGTGGTCAAAGTAAGACAGTTGTTTTATATGTTCTTAATTTGATTTTGGAGTGGAGGCAACCCGCTAGTAAGTACTGCCACTTCTATAAATAAAAGCATTTTACGGCTAGTAAAAAATTGTTTTAATGTGTTATATCTGGCATCTAAATGTGTATAAATCACTATTATGTAATGAAATGGCAAAACAGACAGTTTGTGTATAATAATGATTTACCGCCTGCTGATCAGTTAAATGTTTTCTATTATCATGCAGTTGCCATTACACAGGGTGGAGCAATACAGCTGGCTAATAATGGCACAGATGGAGTCCAAGGACTTCAAACATTAACTATGGCCAATACAACAGCAACACAACCTGGAACCACAATTCTACAGTATGCGCAAACCACAGATGGGCAACAAATATTGGTTCCTAGCAACCAAGTTGTGGTACAGGGTAAGCGTTTTATTTTCCAATCCATGACAGTCCACCGATTTTCTGGCTTAAGAGCATGTTTCAGCTTATCATTTTAATTGTTATTGTGAAGTAGGAACTGTATGCACAGCCCCTCTACAGCCCACATTTTTCCATACAATATTCAACAAATCCTATCATGATAGTGCAAGCTAAATTACAGAGCTGCCCAATACCTTATGCAAATGCTTGTGTGCTCAATTTTGTGTGCTCAAATAACATAGCAGCAGAGTTTTCTAGTAGAGGGCTAGTAAGCAACACAGGGTTAATGAGATCAAAGAAGATCGAGAACTCACAGGATGACCGTAAGTGATCAGCCAAGAGTACAGGAGAGGGCAGATGAGAACCTTGTAGCACATGATTTAAAGTTAATACATTAATAACTTAATTTTGAGTAACACTTATCGTTTTTCTTTTGTTTGTTTTGTTTTTAACGTTTCTGTGGTGGCCCTAAGACTGCATGGGCATGATCTATGAATCAGAATCCTTTCCTTAAAGGCACACTATAGTCACCAGAACCACTATAGCTTTATGACTCCACAACATGTCTATGCAGGCTTTTCAATGTGAACACTGCCTCTTCAGAGAAAAAGCAGTTTTAACATTGCTTCTTAGTAACACCTCTAGTGGAAGTCACTCAGATGGCCACTAGAGGTGCTTCCGTCCAGTGCTGCACGTGCTGTGCATGGAGACACTGGACATTCTATGAGGAGATGCTGCACAGCGTTTTGCTGCACATTCGCAATAGCCTTTCAACGCTTTCAGTGTGATTGGCGCAGGGTTGATCACGTAAAATGCCACATCAGGACCATAGTATCAGGAATACATGTTTGTATTCCTGACACTATAGTGTTCCTTTAACCTAAAGTTGGATTTAGTGCTTAGTCTTTTTAAACCTTGATTCACCAAGAATGCTAGATGATGGATATTCCATAGAGTGGATTACTTTCAGAAGAGTATTCAGTAGCTTGGGACCTCTAAGCAGTGGAAGGCTTACTTGAGGAATTAATTATTGATTCATGACACCTTACCTAAGTTTATAAAAGGCATACTGAAAATGTTTTAATGAAACATACTTTTTATTACGGTTTGTTAGCTGCCTCAGGAGATGTACAGACTTATCAGATCCGCACGGCACCAACAAGCACAATCGCACCGGGCGTTGTTATGGCATCCTCTCCAGCCCTCCCTGCTCAACCTGCTGAAGAAGCTGCACGAAAGAGAGAAGTCAGGCTCATGAAAAACAGGTATGTGGAATCTAACCCCAGTTTTATCCTGCTATTAAAAGTTTTGTTTTGCGTGTGTTCTATTGCACTGACAACCAGCTTAGACAACTGCACCAGTAAGTAAATGTTGCATATTCTCAGACTGGAATCATGATGGTGATTTAGTGGGGAGTGTGCATTGGTATGCTGACCAAACTCTTTAAATTATGAGCTTGTAGTTTGATCTCTTCAGCCTGTAATAAAGATTCAAGGTGGTTGAGAATTGTGGTTCTTTGTTTACATTGTGGATGTTTTGTATTTTAAAAAGTTGTCTTATGTTATGAGTGGAATCCACTTACTCTATAAATGTTTGGTAGACAGATGTTTTTTTTGAGTGAAGAATCTACAGTCCTGCAGACCTAGTTAACAGTGCATCTAAGTACAAATGTCAAAATGAGTAACTTTTCTTAAATATTTCTGTCTAAATGTAACTATATTTGTTTTATCCTTTTCTTTATTGACATCTCTTACTGGCTGTAATATCAGAATAGTGTTAACTGTTACTGTTGTGTTGAACTGTGAGACTAAGGAAGTGGCTAGAACGAGACCCTATGCTACAGGCTATACCATTTCGTAAGATTCATTACATAAATTAAATTAACATGGCAATAAAATATTTGATTAAATATTCTCCTTTAAAGTTCCTTAATTTGTACAGGTAAGTGATGTCCCCAGCTATTCCCACCAGACCAGGAAGAGGCTATACTAATCAGAAACTTCTCATTCTGGTCTTTGTTTTTTGGTTTCTTTTTAGCCGTCTAAGTGACTCACTAGAAGTTTTCTTAGGCAGCAATGTAAACACTGCCTTTTCTATGAAACGGTACTGTTTACATTAAAAAGCATGCATGAACAGGCTATAGACACCAGAACCACTACATTAACCTGTGGTGGCAATGGTGACTATAGTGCCCCTTTAACCAAAGTTCCACTCCTCACATACAATGTGTGGTGCTGATGGCAGCCATACTGCACCTGCAATCAGGAATTTTACTTTGCCAAAAAAAGTTAATTAAGAATTCTACCCATTTTTTTTAAAATTAATTTAAAACTAAAAATCTTGTTGAGGAATGCACTGTAAGATATTTCATTGTAAGTTTTTGCAACAGGCAAGCAGATACAACTCTGCCTAAGAATATCTTAAGGCAATATTTTTGCTGATGATTTTTGCCAACACGATTATTGTTGTTCACTAAAGTGAGAATTTAAAAATTATTTTAAATTTAAGGTCAAAATAGCTGAATTGGAAAAAGTCCAGTATTCTTTTTGTTTTGCTACTCTGGCCCTATTTGAAAAATTTTCTTTGAGTTCTCACTTTAGGAAATAACCCTGATTTTGTGAATCAAGTTGCATTCCCACTGGAAAAATATTTTGTCTGACAGTAGAAAAAGTGTTATCTATACGGCACATTAAAAAAACAAAAAACTACTTGTATTCTAAGTCTAGTAGACCTTATGTGATTTGAGACAATCTCACGGTTTTTATTACTTCATTATGTTCAAATTCAGGGTTGGCACAGAGGGAACTGGGTAATATTTTCGTTATCCCTTTCAATGCCAGAGGTGTACCATATTCACTGCACTGCTGGCACGCAAGGGGTTGTGAGCCATAGGCGCAAACCTGCTTATTTAAAGCGGCACTGTCATGGCCGAATCCAGGTGTGTTTTTGTTTTGTTTGTTTTTTAACCCCCTCCCAACTCCACTACATCTAATTTACCCCGTAGCCACCCCCAAATACACCTAAGCCCCCGTATTACCTAGTTTCTAAACTTTATTTTCTGCCCTGACCTAGGTTCTGGGCGCCACCATCTTTGTGTGGGTAGATGACGTCCCTGTGGGAAACGTCATCTGCCCACACTAGATAACGCTTTGAAATTCCTGCGCATGCCCTTGGGCATGCGAATGGAAATGTAATCTATTCCTTCATTCGTCAGTGACGTGTGTGGGCGCCATAAAAACAATGAGGGGGGACTTATTGTCCTCCTCCCCCGGCCCCCACCCCTGAGTAAAACAATAAAAACAAGCCCCTAGTCCCCTCTTCCCCCAAAAAACAGAAATGAATAAACCCCTACGTACCCCCCTCACCCTGAAAATAGTGAGGAGGGAATAAAAGAACTAAGTACCTGTAAAAAAAAAAAATAAATAAATAAAACTTACCATTTGATGTTGTCTTTTTTTTTTTCTAAAATCTTCATTTTTCAGGTCCTAAAAAGGCTAAAAATGGGGGCCGGGGGTAGGAAAATAGGTCCCCCCTCATTGTTTTTAGGGCCCTCACCCACCGCTCAGGGGTAGGGGGATGGCTCTAGGTCCCCCCTTCAGTTTAATAACCCCCACTCGCGCAGTAGGGATGGGGGCTCGAGAGGAGGGTATTGGGGTTTTGGGGGAGGGGGGGTGTAACGGATCACCTGGCACCCCGACTGGGTACCTCCGTTAAAGGATGCTCCTAGCGCTTCCTGAGGACTCCAAGCACTGCAGCAGACACCACAACCACCGAACCGGAGAAGCATATGAATCCTCTCAAGCATATGAATGTTGTAGACAGTTGAATAGGAACCATACGAATAGGTTTACTCTCCTAGCAGTCAAACTGGAACAGCATACAATGAATCCTTCCCCCAATAATGAGACGACACTTCACTTTGAGGGTTAGAACAGGAACTCTCTGTACTGTCACATACAGTCTCTTTTATTCCCAATCCACAAACATAGTACAGCCCACAGGGCGTTACAAAACAGCCAATCAATCCATACAATACACCCAGACACTCCCACACAAAATCCTCCCCTCTGGCTGTGATATGATTACTGAACACAATGGGTAATCTAATTACCACAGCCAGAGAAATACAGATTCATAAAACACATCACAGGGACCCCAAAACATGCAATAACCCCATATCCTTGGAACTAGGAACTGGGTGAACCACATATCCAAAATTCATCCAGATCCGTTCAGTACTTTGGAAAATACAGTTTAATGCAGATTCTGCAGAACATATACAGGCTAAATAAAAAACAATCACTGTATAATGTGTCCCCTGCTGTATAGTCCAAAACCACCGCATGATGTCTCTGTGCAACAAATACTGGCGAGATGGCACCGTGTTGAAAAGTCCAAACAGTGTCTGGGAGTTAAAATGGCCGCCATCCATTGTTCTCACCATGTGCTTCTGATACAGAAAATGGTGGCCACCCAGTAACTCCACAGTATGTCCCCAGATGGTTCTTAAAAGGGCCAGCAGCAGCACAACACAAATCCATTATGCCCAAATCATGTCTTTAAAGGGCAATACATCCCAGGGGCCATAATCACATGGCAGGAGGCTGGCAACCAGGCTTCTCCAGTGCATAGTGGCGAGGTTGGTTCCGCCACATGGGGTTTACTAGACATGCCCCTACTCGCGATATAACGAGTAGGGGCAGAATTTACTAATACGAAGTAAGCTTTACTTAGTATTAGTAAATTTGTCTAAAGGACCAATTTAGATCTTTGAGCCTTTTGGTAGATAGCTCCCTAATTCCCACGGTATCAGGGAGCTATCTACTAAGCGGCTGCAAGATGCAGCCGCAGCACAAATAGGATCGGAATTTAATTAATTCAAATGAAATTCCGATACGAACAAAGTCCTAAAATGCGTTCTAACTTGAATTAACAAACTGTTATTCTGTTAGGACGCAATTTGGCAGTTTTGCCATCGTTCTATCTAAATGACAGGACGTTCGGGAAAAGTGAAAGGAAGCATTGCGGGAACACGGAGGAAAGGTAAGAATTATGGGGAAATTTCTCTGACCACCGGAAATGAAGCACACTTTGCTCCTCCGCTGGTCAGAGATGGTCAGACGTAGGAAACCTCCATAAGACAAATAGTCCCTACTTTGTCTTATATTTTAAAGAAAACTAGAGCAGACAAGAAGAAATGAAGAACAGATCCTCAGAGAGGGAGAGAAGAGGAATCGATTGGAGAAATGTAAGTTCGGCATGACCGTGCCACTTTAACCTCTTTTAGTAAGGGAAGAGAGGATATTGAGAGATAAGTAGTGTCTGTAGTATATGTAGTTCGGCCTCTATTTCTCACAATACTTGAAAAAGAAAGAGATATCTGTGTATCCTTCCTGATAAAATATATTAAAATTTCCCACAGTACAAATGACAACTTCTAGCATGCCCTTTCACCCTTGGGCTACTTTTTATCTGAGTTCCAGAAGGAATTGAAGATGCGACTTTGGAGATCAATGAAATCTTAATTTCTTGCAAACAACTGGCAGATTTTTATTTATTTTTTGCATCTTTTAAGCACTTTTGATTTGTCAGGGAGACAAATTATTGGTGCCAGGCCCAATATTTTTGTCAATCCGTGCCCTGGATTTGTTTAGCCCTCATCAGATTCATCAGAGAAAGTGTCATGTTCTGTAAAAAAGAAAATCTGGCTTTTCTCCCTTACTTTGTTTCATCTGTTTGTCCATTAATTGAATTTTTCTTTGCCTACAGGGAAGCAGCACGGGAATGTCGTCGAAAGAAGAAAGAATATGTGAAGTGTCTAGAAAACAGAGTGGCAGTTCTTGAAAATCAAAATAAGACACTGATTGAAGAACTAAAAGCACTAAAAGACCTTTACTGCCACAAATCAGATTGAGGGAATAATGAACTATAACTAGACTGGTTTGACCACAAGAAGACAGAAAATTTAGGGTTTTATTTTCTAAATCTTTTTCCCCTATACGCAAAACTGCCTGACTGCAACTAGAGGATTTTATTCATCTGTGCTTTTGCATTAAAACTGTGAATGCTCCTAGCTCCTGCCTCTATCTCCAGATGAGTAAGTGACTCCTCCCTGCACCAGTTAAAGAAGAGGAAAATACTTTAGGTTTATATTTTTCATCATGCCTTCAGTTTATTTGCTTTTCTGCTTTGTCCTTCCTATATTTGCTTGGCACCTTTAGTGCAGGAATGGCCTGTATATAGAGTATCTCAGGCCCTTCACTTTCAGATACTGCCCCAAGTACACCTATACACTTGTAGTGTGAGGACATGAAGGCATTTTCTGTTTGCTGTATTCACTCCAGTATTTCTCCTTTTCTCACAGAACATTCTGATGATGTGGAAAATGGTAACCCTTTGTTTAATTATTGCCATTGGTCAAAACGGATAACTATTGAAAGCAAAATGCTTTGAAACCTTTTTTATGCTTTAGAAGCAGTCAAATTATGCTCTGGAGAGCACTTTTTTTCCTCCTCCTCCCCTTCCTCATTTCTTTTGCTTTTTCCCTCTGGAATATCATGTCAACTGACTTCAATTTGCCTGGGTTTAGCCAGTTTAAACTTTCATGAGCAACATGTACAACTTCCCCATTTCCGGCCGGCAGTTCTGCTGATTTACAACACACAGGAGAGCCACTGTAAGCACGCCAAGGTACATTTGAAGTTGCAGTTACAGAAGTTTAAAAAAAGAAACACTCCATCTTGAACAATCCTTTAAAATATTGGTTTGTGAAGTATTCAAGTTTATAAAGAAACATTTATATAATCTCTTGAACTTTGCAACACATGAATTTTTCTGGGCAATTTTAAAAAAAGAATAATGTGCAATTGTTTTTGTTTCTATATGTACTATACCCCCTAAAACCCAACTCCCCATCACCAGCAGCCCATTGTGGAAGATTTCCACATGCATAATTACAGTAAAATGCCCCTACCCCATATCCGCCCCTTATTGCTCTGATATGGAAAAATGTAAGGGAAAAAAATGCATAACACAATTGTTGCCCTATGGTAAAGCTGTCTGACAGTATCACAATTGCAATGAGTTAGCTATTTGACCATTGGATCCCTTTTCTTTGTGAAACCTTGTGGGTTGTTGCTACCCCCTCCCCCGCCCTTTATTTTTTTTATTTTATTTTATATTAGAAGCTTATTTTATGTTCTGGGATTTGTTGGTCTTGTAAAAATCTTTTATGTTGAGTAGATTTATTATGTACTATTTCAAATACATTTTGTATTTTAAAACTACAATGTTCTGTGTGCATCAGAACAATTTTTGTGCAAAATTTCTACATGCTTGCGTGTGTTAGTAACTGTATATAAACACATTTTTTTATCTTTTTATATATGTATGTAAAATATTTCCAGACCTTCTGAAATAGTAATCAAAATATTTAATTATATTGGAGACTATTCATTACGTTCTCTTCATTTTTGGTATTACCACACAGAACCATTCTCAGTGGTTTGGCGTAGATTTGTACAGCAGTCCTGCAATCTACAGTAACAGTCTATAGAACTGGAAATGAAGTTATGTCACTGGGAAAGGGTCTACGTATCTTTGGTCTGAAAGTGTCATGTAAGTGTTACAATTGAATCATTACATTGTGTTAACATTGTGCTAGCAAGTTATCACCAAATCTATTTGGTAAATCATTACTCCAATCAACCCATGTACTGGTGAGGATGTGATGAGTACCCTGGCCCCAATGCCCGGTAATGAGGAAAATTGTTTTGCCATGGTTTGCCTCTCATCTGGGACCCCCTCTGGGTGCCAAGGGTCCTTGACTTCCAGCTTCCGTTGGCTGAGAGTTATCTTATCGTTTTAAAGACAATGTATGCAGCTTTGTGCGTATCAGTGTGTACAGAATTGTCAATAGCAAATTCGGCAGCAAAGGTTTAAACCCAGTATGTGCAGTATAATGAAACACTGCACAGAGAGACGCCAGATTTGGAGTAACTCTTTAAATCTTGCATGTAATAGTAATTTGCTTCCAGGGCTGTCCACTGAAATACTTACCTGTGTATCCAGCAACTCAATGCAAAAAATCTTGGCATATATTTCATTTTCTTATTGGGCAGTAAGCATTGAATGTGCTCAAATGCGTGTATTATCATTGATGGTAGTTAATACATCTATGCCGTTGGTGTTTAAAGTTTACATTTGCTAGCAATTTTGTAATCACGATGTACCAAGATTTCTATTGTACACAGTTTTGACACCAAGCCAACTTTGTACAACTGGTGAATTGTAATTCAAAAGTGGTAAGGTGGAATGAACGACATTCTGGATTGATTCCAGATAAATAACCATTAAAATGCCAGTGTTTCTAGTCTCATAATTTCAAACAAGTTGCATGACAACAGGTTTGTTTGTGTTTTATTTTTTTATTTTTTATTGTTACATGAATTCTTATTGTATGGGTTTAGTTCTTCTATTTTATATTGCTCTGGCTCACCTCTGTTTTGTAGATACTGGTACACCCAGAGCTTAGACAGTATTCCAGTACTGCCAGTTGTAAATGTTGAAATTATTTGTATGTTTTTATAATGTTTCCTTTGAGGATATGAGTAATTTGCAAAGGCAACTCTTTTTCCAAGGCAAATGGAAAATAAGTAACATGGCCCCATCTCCCAATAATGGGGAAAACAGTTTTGCTTGGTGCTGACTGTCCTGCAGTGGACAGTGACAACATCTGGCTTCTGTAGTGCTGCAGACGTTGATCCTGCTGGCCATTCTTTGGCTGAGAGCATTAGCTGACCACTGAAAATGCAATTCTGTACATAGGAATATGCCCAGAATTGACATTAGCCACCCTGGAACTCTTGTTCCGGGTTGGCTAATTATGCTTCATTGACACTGGCGGAGATGGGGGTTAAGGGTTAGAGTCTGTTTGTACAGCATTTCAAATAATACACAACTTCTGAAGAGCACATGGTGCTTGGAGTAAACCTTATAAGTATGTCACATAAAGGATACATTTTTAAAAACATACCCATAGATGACCCCAGAAAAAAAAAATCAAAGGCCTCCCCGGAATGCATTTTTCTTATCTACAAAGCAGAGGCTCTAAGATTTTTTTTCTCCTTAAAACTGCACTGGATCTATTTCATGCTTTCTTGAACTCATAAACCTTATTGATCTCCACCATCATCCTTAAGGCTGTATATGCATCTACAATTATTTTTGAGATGTATGTCTTGATCTAATTCCTAAATGTCCCATCTTCAAACTTGTTGGTCTTTTTTTCCATAAAATGTCACCGTCTACTGAGGTATCTAATGTTTACAATCTTTAGAAGTTGCCATATTACTAATTTTGAAAATATTAGTTACATTTTTTTCATCCTAACACAATTTTGTGGTTTCAGGTCATTTCTAATCAATAAAAATGTAACATGCAATTTGGTAGTCACGTTAGATAATCCTTTTTACACATTGTAAGGATTGTGTGGGAAACCAAAACAGTGGTGTCTGCGTGTAAAAAATTATTGCAGGTACAGAAGAGCCCACTAACCTTGATCGGAGGAATCTATTTCCAGTTTATTACTAAATATTGTAAACCATCATTAAAAAGCTGTCATAATACACGTTTGAACCGATGGTTGTGCAGGCTTTTTCCATATTCCTCCTTAAATATCAGTTAAACATTAAACATTTTATTTCAATGTGCAGTATTGGTTTCAAAGTCTTACAGTGCTAAATGGTGGGAAACACAGGGTATTTAGATTATCAATTTAGTTAAACATAATGTTTCCATGCATCATTGTGGGTCTTTTTGCTCCACTTGGGCATTCACCTGCAGTCTACAATTCTCTTATCGTGGATGGAGTGCAATTAAATGAGAATATACCCTGAAATATATTTTCTTATCAGTCTACTCCTGCTAACTTAATAGAAATGTCTGGAGGTTTAACAGACTGGGCACTTAGTTCCCACAGGATCTTTGGGAACTTTTCAAAGTCCTTCTTATAATTGGCCTGCTATGGCTTGCAGAGTTTAATATAAATGTACAAATAGATGAAAAGGTCACATAAGTGATATCTTATGTTTTAATGTTCCACTAAAATATAAAAATATATTTTTGCTTTTTTACTTTTTTTTTTGTTATTATTATTATTATTATTATGCACATTAAAACTAAACTCCATGGACTTAATAAAATAAATGGCATTCTTTCTCCTTATTGGCTGACAGATCCTCATTAGGCAAGAGAGATGCACAAGCTGTTTTTAAATGTTAGTTGGGATGAGAGTTCATGAATATTGGATTTGCCTTAGCACTTTGCATAAGCTATGGTTAATTTAATACAATACTATGATGTAAAGATTTCATATGCATGCTGATATGTTATTAAATTGTTTTGTTTAAGTTGTTATAACATATGTTTTATGTGATTTCATTTCAAAATGTTGAATCTTTTCAGGTTATATATCACAGGTCAGCATTATGGAGGAAATATATGGCTGATTTTATGCAGCTGAAACCATGACCTGGCTGTTTGAAATCTATACATTGAGTTTGCAAATCTGTTAACATTTAGTATAACATTTTTCACTTTAATTTATGCCTATATAAGTTGTAAAGCTGTTTTTCTTTCACAAACCGCTCTGTAGGAGTTTAGGCCAAAATTGGTTCTAATGGAAAATCTTGTCCTAACAATCCACCTTCATGAGAAGTGACAGATGTCTGCATTCCATTAAAGTTAAAGCAACCTGTGGTATATTATTCCATTATGTCAAAGCGCTATGTGCAAAGTGCCCTGGAAAGTTGATAAGCTGAATGACGCATTCATATGGTACATTCAGTACCCTTCATTTTTTCCACACTTTTGTGTTGCAGCCTTATGCTACAATTGTTTTGTTAATTTACAATT